AGGATGCTTTCATTTCCACAGTCCTGTGAGAATGAAGTCAATAATTTTATTCTTTCTGTTCACTATTGAATTTATAATATTTAGGTTTTAATTAAAGAAGAGAAGCTGAGGGGGCTTGGAAACATGATAATTATAACTCAGTTGGCCATACCTTATGGACATGTGGAGAGTTAGGGTATAAGACAAATTGTTCCTCTACTGGAAAGTTGTTTTTATACTCTATTTAGTATAGATAGGCCTAGCTCAAACACTTGGCAGGATCTTACCTGAATTCGATTAGCTTGGCATTCGATTTTAGAAAGGTGCTTTCTTAAATCTCGTCGTAGGTCTAAAGCACAATTCGATACTATTCTAGAAGTGACGTAATCAAACCTCTACTTCACATAATGCAGTTGTGCTAATAATTATATGGAGCCCTTCTCGAAGGGAAAGCAAACCTTGCTGCTATCCAAGACTCAAGTTCGCTACTGGACTAGCCTTGCATCCTTGGTCAGGATGTCATAAGATTGTATCACACTTTTGAAGTACTGTTGGTCAGCGGTCCATTCTATCAAATTCGGAATGCCTGTTCGAAACGCCACACTAAAGGCAAGTCTGGTTAACGAGACCATTTGTGCGCATGCATTGTCCTTAAAGGCAACCTAGTCGATACAAAATTCATGCTACAATAACCCACTGGAAATTCATGCATATAAAATTCGATGTAGTTCTTTTAATTAGTGATTTAATAAGGTCTTACTGGGCAATCGAAACAAATTTTTAGCTAGATGTGGACTTTACCAAAGTTCTGGGGTGTATTTTGCTTTTTATTTCTCTTCAGAGTTCATTTAGAATCCCTTTTCGCTTGCTTAAATCATCCATTTATTTGAACTAAATATTATAAGCTGTAGATTCTTGTGCAAATTTATCTTATTATCTTAATTTTCTTTTTTTAGACCCGGGATCTCGTCTTGGAGGCAATTCTTAATCTTGGTGTTCGCAAATCTGCGAATTGGTTTAAGTCTCGTCTCCGTGACGACGGCGGTCTCGACGAGGTGGCCGAGGCAGTCGGCGCCGCGGTAGATTACCTTGCCGATCTAGCACCAACTGGAGCTGAACCTTACCTAGGATCATCCAAGCAAATTCGTCCTCGTCCATTCATGAGCTCACTCCGCCTTGGAGCTAACCCCTCTAATGGCAATATCACATCCATTTTCTCTACCCCAACCATCACCAATGTTACTACGAATTTAGGAAAGGCAGTTGGCGAGTCTGACATTAAAGCTTTTGGTTTAGAAGACGACAACAATCCAACTGGGTTAGATGAGTTTGCTTTGGATAAACTTAAGCGCGTTTGTCACTATACTCGCCTCCTTGAAAATGTGAGTATTTTCATAGTATTGCCCTGATTTTACCGCTTTACCTGTTTGTTTTTCTATCTTCGTGATCAACATTTTTTGAATGATCTTTTAAATTCAAGCTAAGTTATTTAAATTAAGGTTAAATATCCACACATTTTTATAAACTCAATACTCATGATCAGGCTGGGAAGATTTATCTGAAAATCCACATGACGCATTACCTTTAATGTGGGCTTCTTTACCATGGTTTTCGGTTATCCAGCTTCCTCTGATCGATCGAATTGTTCATAGTGTCTTTTTCACCCCTCATACCTAATTTATGTCAACTGATCTTACATAAAAATGTAAACTTCTAGACAGTTTTATTTTTATCTTGCTTAAGTTTCTATATTTCCATTTTGGGCTTCTTTAATCAAATTTA